GGGGGGTAAATGTATGTACAATTTTTATTTTATATTTAAATTGAAATAATAATTATTTAAATTAATTTATTTACTTTACTTTAACAACCTCCACGCGCACTCGAACCTGAGATCTCAGAACCAGAATCGGTAGTCTTCACTCAACGCCACAGCACACATTTGTGATGAAAGCAATTAACCACGTTTTAGTTTTGGTTATGCCTATTCAATGACAGATGTCGCTGATCGCATAAGTTGTTCGAAATCGCGGAAATGGTAGGCCGTCGCTTTAGCATATACTGGATTTATGAACTAGTATTTATACTGGCTGGTTTGGCATTTCACTGCGGAGAACTGGTATAACTATAGTCCAAGAATGATAGAATACAAGATTGCGCCGTCCTGGCCGTTGACATTTGTGTACCACAAGTAAACGAAGAATAAGCGAAAAGAAGAACGAGTAGAAACTGCCAAAACAGTTCACTTTACAGCGAAAAATGTGTTTTAATTATGCTAAATGCGAAAATATTGCATTTTTCATCTAATATTTTAGAGAATAGGTAACATTTTAGTGCACTCCATTGCTTTGCAATTGAGGCTGCTTCAGCAAACGTTTTAGTGGACTCCATTGCTTTGCAATTAAGGCTGATGCAGAAAACTGCGGCAGCATCTCACCGGGATTGATTAGTTAATTTGCTAATGGAGGCTGCTTGGAGCAGAAGCAAAATTATTCTGAGGAAATGCTGTTAATATAATAATAGAGAAACATTTCGGGAACGGCTTTGCCGTGCCCTATGTACCCAAAATGCAGCGAATCGTCCCAGCGCTACACCTGCATCTACGCTTCTTGCATCTTGACGGCTGTCGCAATTTAACACACAGCACTTCATTGTATTAGTTTTTACGCAGTCTCCAACTCAAAAATCACTCACAAATTGCAATTAACACAATTTAAACTGATTTTTCACTTCTAATTAAAATTTCTCCTTCACTGATTTGTAAACAAAGGTTTATTTACAAGCTACCACAACTGTCAAAATCGGCAAAACCAAAGTAGCGGTACCACTGACGGCGCCACCTTTGTTCGCTGCACCGTGATTATAGTCCATGACGAACTGGTATGACTCTCCCATTTAATACCATTTTTCGAACTAGAATTTCTACCAACTAGTTTACTTTTTTCTGCGCGGAACTGGTATAATTATGGTTCATAACGAACTGGTATGACTTTTATCCTTAAATAATAGTTCATGAACTGGAATTTGTGCATACTGGGCTCGAATCGTTATATACGATATCGTACTACTCGGCACGTAAAAACACATTTTTCGGATTATGGCATACGTGAACGTACTCTTTGTCCCATTCAGCTTATACTGCCTGACATATCACGTAATTTTCTTTCGCATGGTTTTCGATCCGTGAATGGATGTTACGATTCGAGCCCAGGTTTAGCTTTTCACTGCAGGGTATGTATGTACGTATGTATGTAACTGTGGGTTTTATGTATGCATGTACGTATGTCTGTTAGTGTAGCGTAGGGGAGCTACGTTACAGTCCCCCCCCCCCNCCCCCCCCCCCGCCCCCACTTCGGAGAACAAAAGGGAAAGGGTGCCACATTCTGGGGGTTCGGCCGGTGTGTGTGTTTTCAGTGCAATTTTATTGTACAAATATATATTTAGAAAAAAATTTACATAAAATAAACAATGATTTGCATAAATTAAATGTTAAGCTCAAGACACGTTAGTATGAATTTAATTTTTATATTTTTTTTGTTGTTACTTATTGCTACACATAGTTTTCTTATTTCAGGTATGAAAGTACCTTTCATGCGTATATATATATGTGATGAAAAAAAATAGTCTTCCAGTTCCATGGGGTGTTTTGACAGTCTTGGCGGGTTGTATTGCGTAGTTAGCTTCCTTCTCAGTCTGTGAACTCTATCACTTGGCTTTGCTCATGATATCTGACCAGGGCGTGGTTTGCGTCCATGCGGAGGACATTGATTTTGCGCTTATGCCAGCGGATCCTCCTTTTTTGTAAGTTCTTGTGTGGGCGTTGTAAGCGGAGGTTTCGGAATGGGTTTTCCGGCGGTGCCCCCTTGATGTCCGCTGCCGGGTCTAATACGGGCTGTACTGTAGTTACCCCTTCGTTTTTGCCGCTGGTCGGCGGTGTTACTATGTCGCGTGTTTTGGTGCGGCGTGTGGTTGCTTCTTTGGTGTTGCCATAAGTTGACGGGTTGGTCGGATCTCGGGCTATGTCGTGAATCTCTGCCGGACGTGTAGTGATCGCGAACAGTGGTTTGCATTGGTCTGCGTGTGGTAAGATTAAAGGTGGTCCGTGGAATATTTTCACGTTCAGGATACGGGGCTTGTTGGGTGGCCATGGGACGGCTTCGAAAGGAGGCTGCCATGGTGATATTGGCCGAGGCTCGTCTGGTGGTGTTGGTTGGAGGTTCTTTCTCCCTTGCTTGCGTGATGCCATCTCGGTGGTTTTCTTCTGAGTATTTCTTGACCTGATAGTTTTGGTAGTATCAGGTGGGTTTATGTAGTTTTGTACAATTGGTGAGCTGTATGCGCTCCTGGAGAGTTCTATCCGGTTGGCGGTGAGTAATTCGTCCACTTCAGTGCTTATTACCTGCTGCATGGCGGGATTGCGCGGGTAGTAGCGCTGCTTCAGCGGTTGGTTGTATCGCAGTGTAATGGTGTGTTCGGCGGCTGTACTTGGTCCGGTGATTTTGGAGAACAGCGTCTTATTGTGGTCCAAGAAGTGTGTTAATTCCTGATTTTGTTCCTCATTTAAGTGAGCCCGTTCTGTTAGGCAACACAATGTGGGTGTGGGCCTCGGTGACGTGTCGGGATTTAGTGGCTGGCCGTCTAAGGTCACAACAATGCCTCGCTTTGACAGGAAGTCCATTCCTAATATCATTCGTTCTGCTAGGTTCGGGATCACTGCTACCGCCGTGCGTGTGAATCGCTCGTTATACTTGATTCTGACGGGGTAGGTGTGTATACTGGCAACGCATGTCTGATCCGCGAGTTGTACGTTCCGCTTATTAGGCTGAAGTCGGATGTTGAGTCGCTCTAAATGCACGCGCGTGTTGTCGTCTACGTATGTTAGAGTGGCTCCGGTGTCCACCAATGCTCGTACGTGCNAGTGGCTCCGGTGTCCACCAGTGCTCGTACGTGTAGGCCTTCGATGGTGACGTCGGCGTAGAAGCGACCGTCGATACTTCTCCATTCGGATTGCACTGTAGTGGCTTGGGCGATGGGTGGCGCGGTATTGATTGATTTGGGGCATGGGCAGTTTCTGGAGAAAGTTCGTCTTGACCGCAACGGGAACAGAACAGTCGCCGTGGGTAGTGACAATGGTAACGCTAGTGCCCACGCCCTTTGCAGCGCCAGCAGGTCTTCCTTGCGTCGTACCGGTTACTTATGGTAGAAAGGCTGCGTCNGTAACGCTGGTGCCCACGCCTTTTGCAGCGCCAGCAGGTGTTCCTTGCGTCGTACCGGTTACTTATGGTGGAAAGGCTGTGTGCCGCTTGTCTACTTTGTCTGGCTTCTTCGTTTTTGAGCAGTTCATACTCATCGGTGAGCTCCATGAGCTCCTCGATGGTTTGGAATTCGCTTCTTTTTACGAAGAGTCGGTATTCGGCTCGCAGGCCGTCATAAATACGTTCTAGGTGGTTTTCGTAGCACATGACCGGATGTTGTCGGATGAGTGTTTGGAGGGCGAGGATGTAGTCCTTGGCCTTTTCCCTGTGCATCTGTTTCCGCTGGCGAATTGTGTCTTCTAGCTGCGTTATGTGTCGTTTGGGCAGAAAAAATTTTTCCGCCCCGGCACGAAATCTAGCCCAGGTGGTTATTTGTTGCCTCTGGACGCGGAACCATTGGAGTGCTTTACCGCGTAAAATCTCGGGCAGGGTTGGGAGGAGTTGGTCTGGCAGGATTCGGTAGCATTCTGCCAGTTTCTCAATCCGATCCAAGAAGTCGTGCAGGGCATCGCCGCCGGAATAGTGTACGTCCCAACGACGGACAGTACTCATTACTTCGGCGTTACTAAACCTGTCTCGCCGAGGAGCTACTGGTTTTGCTCCTCCGGAGTGTAGGAATGATTCGCCCAGTTTTATGTCTGGGGTGACTTCGCGTAAGGACTTTGCTATACTGGCTTCTTCAGCGGTGATCTCCATTTCTAGTTCTTTTAGGAGATTTTCGGTTGATCTTCTACTTCGCTTGGTTTTGATGAAGTGGCTTAGAGCACTCCGTAGCTCTGCGACTGTGTTCCCTTCAACTGGTAACTGGTGTTGTCTGCATTCCTCCAGTAATCTCTCCTTTTTCAGTAGGTATATCCAGCCCAGAGAGTCGGCGTTCAGCGTTGCGGTGTCGTTTTCGCTCGTCCGTGTGGTTGTGGTGTGTTCGATGAACCCGCTTGGTGCTTGTTGGTGCTTTTGCACATGCGCCTGCAGAGCTGGGTCCCTGCTCGGGCGCCATTTATGAGGTGGGTTTTATCGAAGGCTGAGGTAGCTCAGCCGCTCCAGGGTTGGGTGGAGGTCCCCAGTAGTTTAATATAGCGAACACAACCACACACACACGCGGCTGTTCGGTCAGACTGCCGGTACCCTGACGTCCACGAAGAGAGGGGAGAGAGAGAGACTAACTGGTCGGCGGTCGGCGTCGTGGTTCAGAGAGCGGAGACTGTCTAGTGGCTAGTGACGGTGGCGGTGACGGTGGGAGCGGTGACGGCTCGGTGATTAATGACAGTGAGAGCGGTAGCGAGCGTGATGATGGTAAATGCCCACAGCACGGGTACTGCAGCCAATGAGGGCGGCGATGCTGATCGTGACGGCAGTAGCAGTCCCTTGTAGTAGAGATGGCCCTGCGGTGATGTTGACGGTGGCCCAAATAGTGGCGAGGGCGGTAGCGACCTCCCGTAGTGAGAGCAGTATTGGCGGCCCTAGTTATAACAACGGGCCCCTGATGAGTAACGGCGGTGACAGCGGCCCTGGATGGCGATGATGTTAGCGGCAGACAGCGAGTAGCGGTCCTCGGTAGCGGTTTGGCCTAGGGGCGGCTATGATATTGGCGGCCCAATGGTGAGGAAGGCGGCAGACCGGCCGTAATGAAGGACGACGGTGACATCGGCCCTGGATGGCGATGATGTTGCTAGCGGCCCTGAAAGGTGGCGGCTCTTGGCGTTGCTTTCGGCCTGGGGCGGCAGCGATGCTAGTGGCGGCCCGATGATGAGGAAGGTGGCCACTCGGCCTTAAGAAGCGGTGATAATGATGACGGCCCTGGATGGTGATGATTGGGCTAGCGGTCCTCTTTAATGACAGCCGGTGGCGGTTCCTCGTTGTAGTCCAGGCGGCGGTTAATATTGGCGGTCCGAAACGGTCACGGAAGTCACCTACGGAAGCTACGGAAGCTGGTCGTCAATATGTTCCCACAAACCGCCAACCTGTCCCACAGGCAGAGCCAGGGGCGCTCGAGGTTACACGGCCTAATCCGTCCCGATGCGCTCCGTGCCTACCTACGGCAGTTTGGTCAGTCTGTATTCCCCATGTGCAGAGCCAAGGGCGCTCGAGGTTACACGGCCTAAGCAGGGATGCGGTTTGGATCTAAAGAGATCCAATTGGATATATTTTTCGACGAATTTTTGCGGGATACTTATTTTTTCCGGTCAGTATAAATGTGGATACTTTTTTAAATAGGCCAAAATTTTATATTTCCTATAAAGTTTTTTTCGTTCAAAAATCGATTTTCATTAAAGATGGCAGAAAGCATTACGTTTTCTAAACGTATAAAGAATCGCTACTTAAGCATAAAATTAAAGCATTTTATTGTGAACGAAGCAATGAACATATGAAGAGATCTCACCAAAATAGATATAAGCGCAATTGCTTTAATTAGCTTAAAAGGATGCTTTAAGCATGATCTTAATATAAATATCGTCGTTTAAAGTACAAAACCGCGGTTTTGTACATTAAACGACGATATATATAAAGTAAATTATACTCTTTCTGTAGTAATCTCTTTCATATCACATATTTTCATTTGTTAATTTAAAAAGAAAGAAGATTTCAATGTAGTTTAAAAAACTAAATTTGATTTATTTAAAGAAACTTATATGAATTTTACTGAAAAGACTTTAAATACACTCTAAAAAAATTTTGTTTATTTGCGCATATTGAGAGAGGTAACCAGTTTCCTCTTTTAATACTTTTACTTTTACATAACGAATTTGTCGCAAGAGCAAAATTACACATAAAATGTTTCAAATAAAGTAATGTTTATTATTAGTAGGAAATGTATTTGTAGTTTGAAAATTTTTGCAATTTTAAACATTCTATATATGTGTATTTATGTGTATATTTTAAAGATCTCAAGTTCAAAATCAAATACTGAATCCTATACGTATATTTATACAGATTCTTGTTGAAAAATAGATACTTTTCAGTAGTAGTTTTACATGCTCTTTTTAGAGTGTACTTGCTATTTATTATATAAGTAGTCCACTTGCAAAGTGCGCTATTGAAAATTTTTTCCATTTTTAGTTTTTGGTGGATTACGTACCAGTATTTAAAGTAGTTTCATGTCCACTAACAACACAGTGCAAAATCTTTTTTATATTCTGAAAAAAATAGCATCAAATGTTAACTCTTCTTCCAAAAGTCGCTATCACACTTATTTATAAACTTTCAAAACTATACATCTTCTGATGAACTTTGAAAACTGCTTTAGGTCGTATAGACTGTTAATGTTATCTTATGTCATGTTATGTTATGTTACAATTTTAAAAGGCTCTTATTTATTCAAATTTTCAGGTAATAATGGAAAAGATTCAATTTAAATGATACTTGTTGTCGTAGTCGTTTTTTCAAATTTACGGCTTTCTATTATAAAATCACATAACGCTGTTTGCAAGTGGACTACTCATATTTACTTTGCAAAATACGTATGCACAAAAATGTACTTTATAAATTGAAATTACAAATGTTTGATATTATGCACATGTATTCCAAAGTCCTTAGGATGGGTTAAATTATGTATTTTTTATGAAAATGTTTGGTTTTCTTACAAATTATGAGATGTATATGTGAAAAAAGACAATTGGATACATTTGGATACATTTGGATACATTTTTGGCTTGGTCAGGGATACATTTTCTTGAGACGGCGCGGCAACACTGGGCCTAAGCCGTCCCGATGTAGTGTAGCGTAGGGGAGCTACGTTACAATGTCAACACAAACAAGTTGTTTTGCCGTGTCTTTCCATCTCAAACATACTGTTTAAGCAATTCGTTGCTACTTAGCTAAGCTGTTGTTCGCTGTTGTGCTTCTGTAGCATATGTATTTTTAATACTGTTTGATCCTGCCTTGGATGAAAATATATCGTCGCTTAAAGTACAAAACCGCGTATCGTCATTCTGCAAAACCTCGTAACTGACATTGGCTGCCAAAATTGGATTTGCTCACACAAGCTCTTGGCTCAATCCTTATGCATTCGTCCTGAAATATACTAGCCGGAAATGCGATTGCTTTATAAAAAAAAGAACCATTTTCAAATATGACTGTTTTTACGCTCTAGAAAATAATTTCTACAACTTCACATACGCGGTTTTGCATTTTGCTGATACGCGGTTTTGCATTTTGTTGATACGCGGTTTTGCACTTTAAACGACGATATACAGGTTTTTAATTAGACAATTCTTTAATGCATTTTACTATAATAGGTGCTTAAAAAGTTTACAAAATCTCCTCCCATATATAAAATGTAATTAATAATGCTGACTATGTCGCATGTGTTGCTTGTATTGACATGCATAGATTTGATGCATGTTTTGATTTCAATTATTCGACAGTGTCTTAATATTTTATTGTGAAACATGTATGAGCGACATAATATGAACTGGCACTTGCATGATGTGACACATGTTGCTATGTTTTATAGTTCAACATTTGCAGGCCTTTAGTGTGTATTGATTTAAAATACCTTAAATTACCTTACCACAAAGAATTAGGCATTATCTGCAGTGTTACATGAAATATTATTAAATCTGGCTCTTTAAGAAATTTAGATAGTAGGATGTAGCTTGCCGTCAATGAAAGCACCATGGAAGCATAAACTTAGAAGGAGGTAAAAACGTTCCTAATTCTTAGAGCTTCTTGTTATAGTATATAAGTGGACACTCAACTACTCGCTCTACTGCTGCTGGTGCTGCGTTTCGCTTCGATTCGGCACATCCGTCCAAGGGCTAAAAATTTTTTGCAGAAAAGTGGTTGGGACAAACAAAGAAAACCTTTGTGAAGTTACCATGCACGTAGCCATCCCGAAATATGTAGCTAATCGTATTAAATAATGACGAAAATAATGGCATAGACAAATAGATTCTCTATGTGCACTACACAATGTAAAACGAGTATTATACTTGCCCCCAGTTTTATATTTAAATTTAGAAATAAATCACCAAAAGCTCGCTATAAAATGATGCTCAAAATATTTTCTTAATAATTTTTGAAATATTATTTTTGAAGTAAAAAAACACTTTTAATTTCTTTAAAGAGTTAGCTTCAATTTAGAAGACAATGTCACAGTTTACATCAAATGAGAGCAATGGCGAATAAGAAGAAGCAGTGAATCTTCCTTCAAATATTTGTATCATGCGCAATGTGCATGAATTCCGAGATCAAAGGAAGATAGTTTTGTTCAAATGTGAGTTCTGCGCATGCACAGATTTTGTAATGTTAGTTTCTGTGAATATATATTATAAACACATTTATACAATTGTCAAATGAATTCAGTAGTGTTTCCAAATATATTTGGCAAAAATCATTTCACTCTGGGCGGCTTATGATCCCCTTTTTATAAAAATTTCATGATAGTTATAAAAGCACATTTTAATGGAATGAAATTTCAATATTTTTATTAAGCTTTGTACCACGATTATTTTATTAGAAAAAATGGAAAAAGCAACAAAGTCTCAGCAGTAGAAGTTATAGCAGCTATTTCGGAGATCACAACATCTCCTCATCAGACTTCTTTTTTATGGACTTCAGTAGGGATCCAACTCGCGTCATCGATGTGCAAAGTCAGAAGCGTTAACCACTGAGCTATGCACACCCCGTAAACTCGCGTTGCTAATTAAATTTCCTTATTCAACCTACTGCTACCAAATGCAGCAGATTTGCCATAA